TCTTTGAGAACAATGAGAAAAATGAATAAATGATGATCTTGCCAACAACACCTAAATCCCTTGAATAAATACTAAAATCCACACGTTTGAAACTTAACTTTGGGGGGATTTTTATTTTAAATTATTTCTTCAACCTATTAAGATTTCCGGCAGAGGAGGCCATTCAGCCAACTGTAAGGGCAATCCAAAACCAATCCACAGGCTCAATTCTTGCATGCATCTTGTTTTAGTTTAAATCTTTATTTAATTTTCCCTTAAAGTATGCAATGCACTGTGAGAAAAAACATTCAATGTTTCAACACTATGCAAAAGGCTTATCTTAATCAATGCTCCTCTCAAGTTGCATGGTACAACATAGAAGGTTCCATGCATTAAAAAAATCTGGTTATGCACAATAAAGAAATTTTAGATGGAAAACTGATCCCAACCTCTCTCCTTGGTCTCTTAGTGAAGGTTTTAAAATTATTTACTATTAGTCACTGATTTGCAGACCAAAGGCAATAGTCTTCCCCCAGCCACTCCACCTCAAATGATTAATAATTTTCAAACTCTTGATTAAATCAGTGTGCTGTCACTCTGCTCCAGTGAAAATGATCCAAATCATTTATAACTATAACTATCTGATATCATCTTGTTGACTGTACTCTATGATACCTATGGCTTTAAGGTCATCCTACAAGTGGATGCTCAAAACTACAATATATTAGTTTAACAATGACCAAACCACTGGTTTGTGCAGATTTATCCTAACTTCTGCATTCTTGCACTTTACTCTATTATTTATAAAAAAGCTGTTTCTTTTTGTTTTATTTTCCCATACTCTCATGCAGGGCAATATAGGCTTGAACCCTAAAATCTTTATATTCATCCACATATGTACTTATCTTTCCATAAACTGGAATCATTCTTTTTATAAACTAAAAAAAAATTACCTCACACTTATCCATAACAAATTGCATGTGCCATCTGTCTGTCTCTCTGCCAACCTAGCTATGCCTTTCAAAGTTCTCCTCATTGCATGCTAAAATTCCTGTTGTGCGTCATCAAATTTCAAGACTCTGTTCTCTGTACTCAAACCCAAAGCAACAATTCACACCCTGAACAAAAATGGATTAACCCCTAGGTACATCACTTCCAACCTTTCTTTGGTTGCAGCTTTACTCGTCCCTCTACCACACTGCTTCTTGGCCATCAACCAATTTTCTAACCATGCTACTCGATTTCCCCTCGACCATATGCCTGAAATCTTTGTAACAAGCTTCTTGCAAGACACCTCATGGAGAGCCCTTTGAAAGTGATTTTTCTTTTTAACAGATGGGATATATTTCAGGATTTCTTATCCAGCACATTTGCCGGAAATAAACTCACATTAATACTTGATGTATCCTTAAGTCAACAGCATTCTAAAGGTGAAAAGACTGAACCAACGTTTTCAGAAACAATTCTTCACAAAATCGAGCCCTTTGTAAACTTCTAAAGCTTGTTTGATTTTCTAGTCACATAGGTAATTGAGAACTTCCCAGCCCAATTCCAGTTTATTCCCCAAAATGACATTCCCCAATATCTAGTATGAAAATTTCCAGCAGGTACATCTGCTGCTCAAAAGTGCACTCACCACTGAAGTGATAAAGACATTGAATAGTGAAAAAATTAAAGAGGCAAAAAAAATGCTCAATTTATTGGAGGTAATTAGGATAGTATATGGGTAAGACTTATTAAAGAACTCCCACAAAATTTTATTTAGCTGGAGAAAGGGTAAAACCTACATAAGGTCTCTAAGGTTTGCAAATTCACTGTTCTACTTCCTTTATGGCATTATTTATTGTCGACCACAGCCAGTTGTGAAAGACAAGGCATTAAAAAAAGCTCAAGGTGAATGCTAACATGTGCAAATCACTTGCTCAGATTGACATTGCTAAAACACTGATTTGGGTGTGAACATTTATCGTACTTCTCGAAAGAAAATAAAAATATGTCTTAAATGAGGAAATGAGGAAAATACTTTCGACATCTAAACTTATCACGTAATGTAATCACACTGTAGTTTGAAGAAGAAATAAACTAATTTTACAAGTGATAGAGAATTACAATATTTTAACTTGTGGAAGAATTAAGCAGATATCAGTGTGAATGCATCAGTTATGAGAGTATATTTGTCATCAAAAGAGCCTGAAAGGGCTCTGAACAGAGTAGTGGGAAAGGGCTGTTCCCATTGGAGGAAGGATCGAGAACGACAGGCCACAGATTAAAGGTAATTTGCAAAAAACAAGCAATGGCAATATGAGGAGAAACATGTTACAACATTAGCTTTTAGGATCTGGAAAGTAGTTCCTAAGAATGTAGTGGATGTAGGTTCAGTCAATGCATTCAAAAGAAAATTGGATTATTATCTGAAAAGGAAGAAGCAAGGCTAGTGGGGGAGGGGGTGAATGACATTAGGTAAACTGCTCCTTTAGAGGGCCAGTACAGGCATTATGGGTCGAATGGAAATTATCGAAATTCCAGATCAACCAGAAACAATTAGTCAGGGGAGAATTCGCAGTCACATGGAATAAGGTGGGCTTTTTAATAAGAGTTAGCATTGATTTCTGCAGGGGAACATACATTTAACTAAATTGCTGAAGTTTTTTGAAGAAGTAACAGAAAGTCTGGATGAAAGTGATGCAATTGATGCCGTTTATACAGACTTTCAGAGGCATTTGATGCTACGCTGCACAACTGACTTGTGAGGAAAGATACAGGTCATGGAAAAAAAGGCACTGCAGCAACTTAATACAAAATTGGCTGAGTGATAGGAAACAGACAGTAAGTGTTAACAAATATTTTTCAAACTGGAAGACGGTTTGTAGTGGAGTATCCCAGGGGTTGGTATTGGGACCCCTGAACTTTCTGAAATATCTGAATTATCTACATCTTGGTGCGCTCAGGATAATTTCAAAATTTGAAGATGACACAAAATAAGACAACTTGGAAGGAGTGTAAACCATGAGGTAGACACTGTAAAACGCTGAAAGGACATAGACAATTTGGTGGAGTGGCTGCAAAGGTGGAAAATGGGGTTCAATGCAAAGAAATGCGAGATGATGCGTTTTGGTAGAAAGAACATCAAAAGCCAATACAAAATCGGGGGCATAATCCTAAAGGGGTGCAACAGCACAGACACCTACGTTTCATCATATTTCTCCAGCAGCTGCATGAACCTCCAAGTGGGACAGCAGCTGGAGAAACCAGAATTGAATGCTTTGGCACAGTGAGAGTGATCTGTGTGTATATGCACACAGATCACTGAAGGTGGCAGGGCAGGTTGGGAGAGCCATTAATGAAGCATTCGGTATCTTTGCCTTTATTGGGGCCATACAGTACAAGAGTGTGAAGGTGATGTCAAACTAGTGCAAGACACTTGTTAGGCTTCATCTGGAGTATTGTGTACAGTTCTTGGAGCCACATTACAGAAAAGATGTGAATACATCACAGAGTGCAGAAGAGGTTTACAGAAATAGTTCCATAGATGAGAAATTTCAGTTATGAGGATAGATTGAAGAAGTTGGGACTGTTGTCGGTGGACTGAAGGCTACAGGAAATCTGACAGAGGTTTTCAAAAATCATGAATGAGCTGGATAGAGTAGATAGAGAGAACTTGCTCCTATGCATAAAAGGATCAATGCAGATAACACAGATTTGAAGTTATTTGTAAAAGAAATAAACCAAGAGGTGAGAAAGAAATAGTTTCACAGAGTGTGTAATTCAGGTATGAATGCACTGTCTGGCAATGTGGTGGAGGCAAGTTCAACTGAGGCATCCAAAAGGGTTTTGGATAACTATTTTGATAAAAATAGATGTACAAGGTTATGGAGAAGGAGGCCGTGATTTGCACCGGTAATGATGCTCATTTGAAGAGTCAGTGCCAACGCCAACATAATGGACTGAATGGCCTGCTTCTGACCGTAAAAATTCTGTGATTCTGTGACTAAATGCACAGCAAGCACAGAACTCAAGGTACTAAATTATTGTCAGTAAAACTTGTTTGACACTTCATTTCAAAATGCCAAGAAGTGCTAAGCAATATAATATTTAATAATGATTACCAAAGATACATCTTCATTACTTTATTTCTAATAAAATACAGTTCAAGTGGAACATTTCAGAATTAAAATCTGAAAACCATGTTCTAATGTACCAGGTACAACATCATCTGCTGAAGTTGAGTGTTTTTCACAATTGTTAATACGGCAAGGTATTTAAAACAAAAACAGAAATTGCTGGCGAAAATTAGTTCTGAAGACGGATCAGTGGACTTAAAAGCATTAACTCCGCTTTCTCCCAATAGATGCTGCCAAACCAGAGTTTCTCCAGCAATTTCCATTTTTGTTTCAGATTTCCAGCATCCGCAGTTCTTTGTTTTTATTTTAATGGCATGGTATTCCTTTGGAAAGAGCTATTTCTAGGCATTCCTAGCTAGTCAACGTGTTAGTTGTCAATGTTTCTTTAACTAATTCAGATGACAAGTTTCAGCAAAACTCTGTGCTGTAACAAATTCCTGCGAATGGGATTTTGGCATTTGCAATTAAATAAAATTTGACGAGTGGTTCAGGATTTTAAAATCATATTGCACGAACATTGCAGTCAATCATGATAGTGAAAACCTCAGAATATCAAAAATCCCACATGTAAATAAACCAGTGCCAGAACAGACTTAACATTATTAAAAATGCATCTATTTCAACACAAAGACAACAATTTCCAAACGTAAGTAGCTACCAGGATCCAATGAGTTCCTGAAGCTGCAGGGGAGTTCAGGTGAAAATCAAAATTAACTTTAAATCATATAAAGGTCTGTTTCATGTAATGGAAAGCATTTGATGCCTTTGCACCTCTGCGGCCTGCCATTGACACACATATAACAAGTGTAAACATTGCACAGTCAGTGTCAGGAGTCTGTCATTCATTCATAACAATATCTGTCAAAGATTGGAAGCTGGTCAACATATGGAAACGATATTTCACTTTGCAATTGCAGGACAATGTTGTGTTGTTGTCTTTAGCATCAGTGTGCCATCCTTACCTTCTTTATTGAGCCTCATCACCTCTCTGTTCTTTGAGCTCTCTTTTCCAGTGTCCTCTGATTCTGGATCTGCACGTGAGTAAATGGAAAGAAGAAATGAAAAACAAAATAAAACAAACACAAAAAAAAGGAGAAATAAAGCCGACCTTGGTTAGTGATGCACAATCCTGAGCAATGTTAACTGCCAGTGTTGATATGCTGACCCAGGGGCCACATGGGACGAAGGCACTTGTTTCATTGATGGTTTCACACCAACATACAGTGAGTATCCGAGCCTCCCAAGGAGGGACAGAGAGGCAAGGGCCTGAGCTCCAAACCCGGGCCGGGCCAGGCCGAACCGGGCAGGGCCGGGCCGGGCCAGGCCGGGACCACCCGCGGCCCCGCGGGCAGACAGACAGGCGCCGACCGCCCGCGGGGAGGACACGCCGCCAGCCCGAGGGAGGGAGGGACGGACGGAGGCCGCTTACTGTCCGCACATTGCACTCGGGCAGCGTCGATCCAGCTGGACCAGGGCTTGCCCAGGAAGGCCTCGGGACTCGGCACTTTCCGCTCCAGGGTCGCCATTGCTCTGCCTTCTTGTTCCTCCGCTTCCCCTCGCCACCGCCTGACGTCAACTTCGGCTCCTTCCGCCATCTTCAACCGAGTGGGAGGGAACGGGTGGGATAGGGAGAGGGGGGGAAGAGAGAGAGAGTGGGATGGGGAGGGGGGG